ACCACATGTGGATTCGTTTGGCCACCAAAATGAGATTCACAGCGCTTTCGCTAATCCCTTTAATCGCGAGTGCATCCATGAAGATCATGTACTCGATTTCGGCTGGGAAGATTTGGTCCGACATGCTGTGGAGGTTGGCTTTGAGGTGATCGTGATGACGATACGGAACAAGAAGAGAGGTTTAGATACCGGTATGGGTTGTGTTTGGTTCTATCAGTAGTCTCTAAACATTCAAGCGCCTTTCCGTCTTTCACGGGGCCGACTTGAAGTAAGGCTTGTTCCTTCGTCGTTATGTGAATCGTAATATTGTACTTGTCCCATACATAATGATAGAGAAATAGAAGTAATATTCCTTCCGTGGATTCGAATGACACTCGTCCCATGCTAAAGCGCTAAAGTATCGCTACGCACGAATATCCTTGTCATTTTTGACTCTGATCCTTCTTGCAACCATAGCCTCATCTGCCAACCCCCATATCCCCTTTCCGTACCGAACATCTTTCAACCATTCCTTCACCCCACAATCTGCCGGACAAAGCATGAGGACCACCTTCCAACTCCAATCACCAGCATCGATATCAACATCCGGAGCCCAACCAGGTTCTACAACTTCGATCTTCTCGTCCAGCCTCGAACAGTCCATATAAACGACTGTCTGCAACGCCGGTAACCTTTCAAACAGGATGGAAAGGGTGTTTCTAGAACTTTGATCGGAGACAGCCATGCGTGTGAGGGACGTAAAATGGGAGAGCTTGTCAAGATCCAGAGCCCAGCATCCTAGATAGTCTAGATGTGTAACTTTGGAAAAGGTTTGGAGTACCCTTGGATTTAGGTTTGTCGATTCTTCGAGTTCAAGGTCAATTGAAAGGCGAGTTAATGGGAGGCGGGATATCGCATCTAGTACATCTTGAGTGGGTTGAGGCCAATATGATAGATCGGTGATGTTTGGGCATAATGTGAGGAATAGAAGTGTCCGAGTTTCGTCAGGCGTCGGAAGTCCGATGAAGAGATTTTGAACGAATTTGCCGTACTTTTCGAGCGTTGCCTGGTTCCATTTTATAGGATAGTCCCTGATAACATAGATAGTTTCGTATAGAATGGGTATAAGCCTGCAGTTTTGGTCAATATATTCTCAACGTTCCGGCCAGAGAGAAAGGTTGAACTTGCCAATTATGGACACGCCAAGCGACGAGGAGGAGGTTGATGGGGAGTGGATCGTAGTTTCGTTGTGTCACCGCATATGTAAAGATGAGATGTTCGATTTCGGGGGGAAAGATTGGACAGGCCAGGTTGAGTTGGGTTGGGGTGCTGGGAACCGAGATGACTCCGATGAAGGACTGGAAGACTTGTTTGGTAGTGACATTCAGACCAAACACAGAAAACAACACCCGCCGAATCAGGCTTTCTCCGCCTCCTCCTTCTCAGCCTCGTTGTGAGCCTCCTTATTGACCGACCCAACCGCTCCTTCCCCCTTTGACACTACGAAGATCCGAAATTGAAAAGCGTCCCGCTCATGAATTCCGCTATTCCCGAAGGGGACCGGTTCTTCGCTATCTGACCAGAGCTTTTTCTTCCAGCCCGTTCGAGATGGATCAAGAGCTAGGCTTGACGCTGAGGCCCTTGAACCTCCAGTTACTTTCAATTGACCTTTCTCTTTAGCTCAAGTAACCAGGTGGTTTGTATCTGACTGTTTTTAACGTCCAGTATCTTAGGTGGTATGAAGGTCAAGGCTGATCGTGACGAATCGTCACCATACGCTGCCATGCTTGCAGCCCAGGACGTCGCTGCACATCGTAATGAGCTTGAAATCACCGCACCTCACATCAAGATGCGTGCTACTGAGTTTCATAAAGGTTATTCTAGCCGGGCCTCAACCGTGCGTCAATGTTACCCCTACCAACAGATAACTCATTATGCCTCAGGCCTCAGGCCTCGTTGCCCACAGAGTGAGAATAGCTCTGAACGATCATCACGGGCTCAAGGGTACGCAAGCTGGCTGAAAGGGTTGCCGGTTACGGTAACCTTTTTCTATATCCTCTGGATTCGTTATCTTTCGTGATATGCTGATGTTCGTTTATGAACCTCTTTTTTGGTTATCGGATTTCATCGTATCAAGGTCCGTGTACCCGTCTCATGCAAGGTATCGGTTTTATTCGTTTCCTTATCTCCGCAACCTTGATGTTACGCGCATAGGACCTACCAACGTTGCTCACGCCTCAACACTTTTGGATTTATATTACCGTTACCCCTTCTGCTGTTTCCTATCTCCTCCATCCTTTCCTTCCCGTGGCGTTCTCGAATCATATCACGCCTCCGAGTCCAACTCGGGCAGTTGCGTGCAATACTCTTTCTTGGTCAATACCATGTTAACGACAACCTCAGATAGAACTCAACCTCCTCATCCTGCGCCTCTGCCCTGTAGAAGTCAGGACACCTAGGTCTATTCGTTGTTCCTGTGGTCGTAAGCTTCGTCGTTATGTTCATGCTCGTGCTCTTAGCTGAAAGGGTTCAGTGTCTCTGTCGCACATCTATACCAGAGTCCAGGTTCGTCGTGATCAAACATTCACGCACCCGGGTTTGACATCAAATTGGTGAGTTCTGGCTTCTTTTCATATCCCCTTCCCTTCTCTGACCGTTTCGATATCATATCCTAACTGTTACCCTGCCCTTCTTGGCCTAAATTCGTTCGTCACCTTCAGTTCGAGATCAGTGTACCGGACAGATTGGCGTGGTAGGCGGAAGGCGAGGTCTTTGGATTCCTCTCCGGTCACACTTCCAAGTCACTGGGCGCTCCACAGGTTCAGATCTCTTATAACGTCGTCGCGTAGAATCCCAACATGGCATGTTGTCCGATCACCCCAGATCTACGGTAAACTACAGCAGATATAGCATCGAGATTCGTCCTAAATGAGCATCTCCCTCTGCTACACACGCGTACTATACTGAAGACATTAATCTATGAATTACTCTTCCGCTGCTGGCGTTCCCGAACCACCTGATCTGCTATTCCCCAAATTCCCTGTCCCTTGTGAATCTCCAATAGCCATCCTCGTGGACATTCACCTTCATCCCACCGTTGAGCTCCCTCCAATCACCAATATTCTAGGTGTTTGCGGCTTCGTCTGAGTCCTTTTGTGGTACATTCCTCTCCCTCTGACATGGTCACAAGTGATCGGCCTTGATAGGGCTACATAGTAAGCGACGTCGAGTGAAACAAAAAAGCTGGAACGAGAACATTATGGCTTGCCAGAAACGGGATGGCAGGGATACAGTGCAACCGTGTCCCCTGTGGGTACTGAGTTGAAGAAGTACCCAATATTTCACGGACACCGGTGGTGAAGCTGTGAAGGGGATGATTGCCCCAGGAATCGAGGGTTCGAATCCCTCCCAGTGTCTCTCAAAAAAATGTTGCACTCCTTTTTCTCGCTATAGCAGGCGTTCCGTCTCAAATGGAATATTACAGTCCTCAGGCGACCCCATGAACTATCAGGGAAGAAGATGCCGGTCGTTGCCGACAATCGACTGGCACGAGGCGATACAATCTCGATA